TATAGAAAAATAGGAAGCCGACGCATAAGATTTATATTTTTTAAATCCTGGACATAACATTATGGACATCTAACAACGCACTGACCAACAGCTCAATCAGAAGGGCCTCAAATGAAAGAGGAATAAAGAACCGTTACCGTCAATGTCTGCTCCAGTCAATACACTTGAGGATGATGAGAAATTTAAGTTCATTTGCCCAAAATGCATAGAATTTCCTTTTTTTCTAACTCATACTCAGAGGTAATCTCAAGATCGCCCCCTTTTTTCCTTTCGAATTCACTGATATTGTACTTTTTCAAAGTCGTAAGCTTACTTTAACCAAATTATCTCAGGAGGAATAGGTTAAAGGAATAGTGTGTTCGAACTTTGTATCAATGTTTTCATGTGGCGTTGGTGGCCTAGTGGCTAGGCTCTCGGACTCGCAACCGTAAGGTCGTGGGTTCGAATCCCGCCAAGGGCCCGACGTTGTGTCCTTGGGAAAGGCACTTTACACGAATTTTCCTCACTTCACCCAGGTGGGAATGGGTACCCGGCTATAGACAGCGAAAGATCTTGTCAGTTTGTTAGTGTTTGAGCGCTTAATCGGCGGCTTGCATTGTATGCTTCCCGGGAAGCTGAGAATGTTTCGGAGTGTTCTATGGTCTGCTGGGGTAATGATATAGTGTAAAGCGCATAGAGCCTGCTGTTGAGCGGGGATATGCGCTATACAAATGCTATCTATTATTTTTTGTCTTCTGGTATATTGTACACGAGCTGGTCCTGACAGACATCATCCACGCAGCCTACCTTCTGAAAAGTTCGAAATGTGTCAATTGGGACCTAAAACCTTACACTATTTAGGAAAAGCAGAAGCACTCAAACAAAACCGAATGCTGCCCCCCCCCCCCCTCCATACTTTCTTTTCCAAACCTTATTTTTGTTTAAGTAGAGGTTTTACGGCGCTCGGAACTGTATACAGTTCATATGGGCGCCAAGGGGTGGATGTCAACAGAGAATTCCTTATCCGGACTCGAACCCGGAACCTACTGAATGAGAGGCAAATACCTTAACCTCTAGACCACGAGACACCCCCCCCCCCCAATTGTGACACCGAGGCTCGTTCGTTCGCCCATCGACTCACGCGTAGAGCATCATGGTTACATTGGTGATCTCCTCCGTAAGGTGGCTGATCTCCGGCGGGAAGGGACTCAGGTGACCACTCAGGATGGACGTGTAGATCTTCATGAGGGACGAGCTGTCCGGGAACGTCATGTTGAACACGCTGAACAGAGACACGAACCTGGGGACAGGCGGAGAGTTCGAGAACGTTAGGAGTACGCCATTGGCCGATATTTATAGTAACAGCCATCTTGTTTGACTTATTCTTTAACAAACATAATATAATGAGCATTATCATAACAGTTTTTGCGAAAATGAAAAAAAAGCTTTCTTTTCTTACTCCACTTTTTTTTCAAATCTGACAGTAAGACAGTTTAGTTTTAGTTTTAGTAGAGGTTTTACGGCGCTCACAACTGCATAAGGTCATATGAGCGCCAGAAGATTAGAGGTTTTACAAGAGAGTAACAAACACAAAAAAAGAAAAAGGAGAGATAAGGACGATAGATGTTTGATAGGAAAGAAGAAGCAAACCACACCAGGGCAACCGCCAACAACCCACAGTTAGACAGTAGGTCTGGAACTTCTTTTGACTTTTGTCAGAATGAAGAACACTATTTTATGACACAAACAAGATGGCTGTTTCTTTAAGTATCGGCCAATGGCGTACTCCTAACTTTCTCCAACTATTCGCTTGTAACCTGGAGAAGGACGTCACGGAAAAAAATGTGAGGCAGCGTGGTTGATTCAGGCTCTCGTCAAAATAATCAAAGTGAAGAAACTTGCATTTTTCCGCAGGTTTGTAAATTTTTATCTAATTTTTGTTTTTTGGCACAGCGCTTTTCATGCCCATTAAAGAACTCATTTCTGTGTGGATTTTTCTGAAAAACGTTGATTAAAGGCACAAAAATTGTAAATCTTTAGTTACCATGGACTCTTAAGCTAAGAAAATAACAAATCTTTGGAGGACATTTTCTCTCTAATATTACCTCTGAAAACATGTGACCCCACCTCCTCCTTTCACCAATATTTCGACTTGTATTCAAGATAAATGGATATTTTTTGCTTCCAAATAAAGACAAGTGAACAAGCTTTAATATGAAACCCATAACTTTTTGTGCCCAAAAATTGACGAGAGCCTGATTCCACCACGCTGCCTCACAAATCTTCAATCAATGTTGATGGTGTTTTTTTTTCCCACGTAAGTGTTTTGGTTTTTAGTTTTAGTAAGGGTTTTACTGCACGTGCAACAAAATAAGGTCATATATTATAAGTGCCGAAGATTAGAGGTGTTACGAGAGAGTAACAAACGCAAAGAGGGGAGAGGAGAGATTACTCCGTTAGTGAAGCAATTTAGACCATAAGGGAGGCGGTCTTCGACCCTACCTGTCACAGCTAAGCCGGGCTGAGAGAGGTGATACTTCCATGTGTAATGATCCAAATAGTCGATAAAATCTCTGCCCAAAGGGGAATCGAACTACGGCCTTTTATTTGTTTGTTTTCTAAGTGGGAAGTGAGTAAAATAAGCGAATGTCAATCTACATATCTACATACGCATGAAAAGTATTTGTTTAGGAATGAGAGGGACTAGGGTGCATACGCAATACCAAACATACACTCACACCCCCCCCCCCCCCCAAGAAAAAAACAACAACAAACAAACAAAAAACAAACAAACAAACAAAACAATAACAAACAAACAAACAAACAAAAAGCACACACACACACACACACACACACACACACATACCTGGAGGTTGGCACCGAACATAAGCACATACCTTCCGCGGCCGGGAACCGTGTCCATTGACAGGGAGATGATAGATGGGCGTGGGGGGCGTAGTTTTTCTCCTCCTCTCCTTCCTTTTTTTGTGTAGTAGTGAGGACCCCCCTACCCTTTCCATAAGTTATCTGCAGTGCGTCTCCTCCTCCCGGCTGCTGGCGACGGGCGATAGGGGTTTAAAGAGGTATATGTATTAAGACTCCCTTGTCCGCCGCTTTCTGCGCTCTGCCTTCGCACGCAGATGTCTATTATGAGCTCACTGTATTTCAGAGAAAAGACAGAGGAAACACTTCACCTGCAGGGACTCAAACGC